CTAGTGGCCTACAGGTAAGAATCTTGAAGGCACACAGTTCAAATCCACCAGCTGCTCCGCAGGATAAAGATGGGCAATCCCCTCCCGTGTAACTAAGTGCCTCTGAAAACCCACCGGGGAGTCAGGGTTGGTTCCGACTCGATGGTACACAATAACAAGTGACCATGTAGGACAGAGTAGTACTACCACACTGGATTTCTAAGGTTATCAATCTTTACAAAAGCAGACTGCCTCATCTTTCTTCCACAGAGCAGCTGGTGGGTTGGACTTTCTGGTGAGCATCAACGTTTAATCCACTGCAATGAGTTAGAGTAGGCAAGTAGGCTCTAATAAACTATGCTTCAGTGATTTGATTCACACAGAGAGACATACATGCTTTTAGAGTTCATCCTCTGGAATCAAACATAGAAATGTTCTGAAAGGCTAAGGTTAAACTCTAGGCTTATGTATCAAAAAGAAGTAGGAAAAATAAAGGAATGAGATTTGTATTCCCAGAGGGGGGAAAAATAAAACATAATAAAATTCTCTATTCACACCATAACTTTTAGAAGTTGCAGAAGTTTAAGTTATGTTCTAGCAAGTATTTCTTCCCTAACAATGGGCAAGGAGTATGACACAGAGTGTTACACTGGTGGCATAGCATGTGACTGGCCGTGCTGCTAATCAAAGAATCAGCTGTTCAAATCAACCAGCTGCTCCATGACAGAAAGACAAGCAGCCTTCTCTCCTAAAGATTTACAACTTCAGAAGCCCCACTGGAGGTTCACTATGAGTCAGGATAAATTCAATAGCAGTAAGTTTTATTTACTATGGGCAGAATACACTATTACTCATGGGTACTGGGGCTTCCTCACTTGATTTGTTTTGGCCAAAAAGGTTTCTGGAGAAAATGATCCAAACAGGAGGCCTCACATGTGCATATGCAGTCTGAGTGGCTCTGACTCTGAAGAACTCCACGTGAGAAAAGCATGCCGCAGTAGGCTGCTATCCCTACAGCCTGGGTCTCAGAACACATGCAAAGCATATCCGCACCAGACCCACCCCAACGAGACCCACCTAGATCAGCTATATGACACTCAAACTGAAGGCTCATGAGGGTTGTAAGCGAGGGAGTTTTGTTACACATCAAAAGTTGACCAATACATCGTCCAGCATCTGATATCTCTTATAATTTCCTTCATTTATCATTTATTATTTATTTTTCATTTATCATTTCTTATCATTTTTTTCTTTTTGTTCCTTTTCCTAAGACAAGAAAAATCAGGCCGAAAAAGCTTAACCTTTATTCACTCAACAATTAATTGTCTGATGCCCTGTACAAGGCAGGGCAGGGTTCAGAGGCATTGTCTATAGGATATCTATGAGTCTTATTTGACTAAATAGCACAGTACACAGGCTTTTATGGTATTACCAATATGATAAAACAAGAGGACCATGGTATTTTAACAGAAAACTTCAGATATTATCACTCTTGATCACAATGAGAAAAGGGAATTTTTTTTTTTTTTAATTTGGTGTACCGTAAAATTGGATCCTACTGGCACAGGAGGAATTTGCCCCTCCTTCTCCAGCGGAGCATCTGGTGGATTTGAACTGTGCAACTTCAGTATTGCAGTGCAGCTTCTTGCCTCTAGGCCACCAGAGTTCAAGAAAGGGTATATTTCTACAACTCAAACTCAAAATTTGTTGCTTTTGCATCAAAACAAACTCACTTTGACCCTCTAGCAGGTTCTCAGAGGCTGTAAATCACGCAGAAGAAGATTCACCATTTTTCTTTCACAGAGTAGCTGGTGGATTTGAACCACCCACTTCTGTGTTGGCAGCACAACTCTTATCTACTTGGCCAGCAGAAAAGGGGAAAAATAAATAAAAACTTTTTGTTCTTGTTGTTGTTACGTGCCATGGAGTCAGAACCAACTCATAGCTGCCCCTCCAGCTAGTCTTCAAAGGCTGTAGATCACATGGGAGGAGGCTGCCTATCTTTCTTCCTCGAAGCAGCTGATTCAAATTGTGCACCTTTGGGTTGGCAGAGCAACTCCTTACCCACCAGGCCACAAGAGCTCCCTAGTAAAAATTTTAACAAATGGGAGAGGTAAAAAAGGAGTTAAGAGGATATATTCATTCAAGGCTGATTCAAAACTCCAACAAGTACCAAGAAAAAAAAATGGAATTTTACTTTACTGTCTTTTAAGTCATCATCACTTGTCTGTGAAAGATGTTTCAGGATTTTCATCCAAGTTTCCTCTGGGCCAACACTGGTCTACTTAAAACATATAGTTGTTGTTGTTATGTACCATTGAGTTGCTTGCATATACCCTGTGTATAACAGCATGTAACCCTGTGTATAACAGCTCTGAACTCTGCTCTATCATATGCCAACCTTATTGTATCTGACACACCTATCCCCACTAACCCAGTCACTGAGTCAATCCATCTCATCGAGGGTCTTCCTCTTTTGTGCTCTCCCTCCACCCTCCCAATCATGATGTTCCTCTCCAAGGACTGGTCCCTCCTTGCAACATGCCCAAAGTATGTCAGATGGAGCTTCAGAAATACATAGTAGATTAAGTTAAAGGGAGCTCTAATAGGGTATCCGTGGAGAGCTGTGCTGCTTCCAGGAGCAGCTCTAAGGGAGAAAAATGGACACACTCCTCTGGTGTGGTTTACAGACTCTGAAACCCACTGGGGGGGTCAGCTCTGAGTCAGTTGTGACTCAGTGGCAATGAGTGAGAACATCTGCAATGACAGCATCAATGGTAATCAACTCAAATTCAGAGCCATGAAGCAGGTTCTGACTCACTGTGACCCTCTAGTGGATTTCCAAGGGTGTAAATAATAGCACAAGGAGAATGCCCACCATTCTCTCTCAGAGCAGCTTCTGGATTTGAACCACTGGAGACGCCTTGCCTTTGGGTGAGCAGTACATGACACAGATATGCCTAAGTTCCTCAACAGTACATGATCATAGTCTTAATACTACCTTGACAAGCCTGGCTCCTACATCAAGATCATTCTACTTGGTGAACTCCGGCCTCAATCTGTCCATGAAATGCTGGATTCACAGCTTTATAGTGGCAGCCAGGTAGAGTTTCTATAAGGTAATTAGCCAATAATGTTAAGAATGAATTCTGGGAAACAGAAGCGGGGGTTGGGGGTGAATAAGCCATTGACTAGTCGAGTGTTAAGGAAGATATATGGTCCTTCTGTCCATGAACTAACCACCCTTGAAAGTCATACTAGCCAAAGCCATCCAGCCTCTCTCCTCTAGCCCCAACTGTGCAAGGCTTTTGTAAATGCATAGAAGCCAACAGACAAGATGGCTCACCTAAGGGAAAAATCAGGCTGCCTACTTCTACCCCCCAGAAGGATCTGGCTAGACTCCACAGCCACCCCCAAACTGTCGTACAGCAAGAGAGAACAAGCCAGTCTTCTTCACTTCCAGAAGTTGAGCTGATGCTGTCAAAACGAAAAGAATCCCTTCTATTCATGGCAAGCCTAATAGAGCAGGCTGGCTTGCTTCAAATATATCCTATACATCCGTCATGTTATATGCTGGGAAGCAATGCGACTCTACAAGGACAAGAGGGACTGTAGGAGACACCTTGCCACACCCTTTTCCCAGACTGCTCAACAGTAAATGGTCTTTTATAAGGAGCCTGCAGTCCTATCTAGAGGAACGGCGTGGCAACGCTAACCTTCAATACGACCCTCCTCCCATTTCAGTCTTTGCACAGAATCATTTCGTTTTCAGTTTTTAGCCATATGCCAATGACTTCAGCATCCCCAACTACTACAAGTAAAAATAAGAGGAACAAGCAATGGACAAGGAAGCACCGGTCAAGCATACTTGTTTCTAAGCCCATTTTCCGAGAGTTTGCTTCCCCGCCTTCTCACAGCTGGAGCCCCATACCTGGTGCAAACCCATGGTTAAGTTTAAAACAGCTGATTTTAAAAGCCAACCAGGAAACTGACCATGACAAGTGAGAGCTGCCCTCCTCTCCCGGGCAATGATTGGCTCTTGGGGTTCCACCGGTCCTCGTCCTGCCCACTTAAGTGGCAGGTGTGGCTGTCAATCACAGAGGGACCTGACAATTCACCGCTCGGGGAGTAAAATTGCCTTTCATCCTCCAAAGGCAGGTAGCCGCCTAAAATCGATCTGCTCCTAACCGAGTGGACCCTCCCTCTCTGGCAAGGAAAGCAGAGACCCTTGAGTACAAAATAAATAAGGCAGGGCCGATGAGAGAGTTTACGAGCGCTATTTTATTATCCCACACCATTGCAGCCCTTAATCTTCACTGTCCTAAGATGATCTTTCAGAGGCTCCGACAGCAATAAAATAAATAAAATCGGTACAACCCTCGTAAGTACCTTCTCTCCTTGTAAATTCGAAGGCAGGGAGGGAAAGGGAACCAATGTCGCTCAACTGCATTTCACAGCGTGCTCGTTTCCTCACACCACCACCCCCCCGTGACCCCTCCTCAATAAATCCGGCTTCATTTTCCCCGACAGGGATTTTTTTTTTTTTCTTTTTCCCTCACACACGCACACACGCTGCCCTCAGAGCCCACCCAAGCACTCAGGCACCCCACCCCCTGGCTGGGGCTCCACCTTTTCTCCACTTTGTTGGGCTTGGGGTTCCCTGCGACCCCCCTCACCCCCCGCAAACACCCCACTCCTGGAGGCAAGAAGCAGCAGCTGGGCGCAAGGGGAGCAAGGCGATGGCCGAGAAGGTGGCTGCCCGCCGGGGGGACTGCGGGTGGCGGCCCGGGCCGCGGGAGCCGTGCACTTGTTCCAATCCGGGGGTTTAGACATCCAGGCAAATCCGCCCTTAGGCCGCCCCAGCCCTTCCCCCGCCCGAGGGAGCCCCCGTGGCGGCCGCCGGTCCTCCCCTCTGCTACCCCCATAACGCATTGCAGCTCCCCACGAGCGAGGGGGACCCGGCACGAGGGATGCCCGGGCACCGGCGCCCCGAGGGAGCCGGCCCGGCGGCGGCGGCTCACCTTTCCGATGCTCGCCCCGGGGCCGTCCCACATGGATTTGTACAACCTCGCGTCGCCTTGGCCCCGGGCGGCCGCGAGGAGCCGGCGCCGGAGCCCGAGCGAGCAGGAGCGGGCGGCGGAGGAGGAGCGGGCCGGGGAGGCGGGGAAGG